AATGCTTATATTTTATAATAATATATATGAAGAAAACATTTTTATAAAAATTAATATTTAATTTAAAATGAGTTCTGCTGCTTTATATCTTCATGACTTTAGCTAGTAGAACTTATATGAAATTATCACTTGAGGTTTCATTGTATGAAAGAACAATTTCACTTAATAAAGTAGTTTGACTCATTAATTGCAATCCGCTTACTGCATGTGTAACTTTCATGCATTTACATAGATAAATATGCAGATACATATAATATATTTAGATGTTTGTATTGAGAAAATTTCGCTTCAGTTATATAAACTTTGGAGTTTCTTTTTATAATATTTATAGTATTTTTTTTTTTTTGTTAATAATATATATTTAAATAAATGTCTTTTATATACTCAACATTGAAAATACTTTTTTGTAGTTGCTTTAATTTTAAAATACGATGTACCTCCAAAATGGGTCTTATTAAAAATAGTAGTAAAAATAGTAGTATAAGTAAGTAAGTTAATGTAGTAGTATTTATATCGTTAGTTTTTTATTATTTTTTATTAATTAGTGTTGTTTTTCTTTTAGTTTTTGACTACAAACTAATTTAAGGTACTCATAACTCCATTAATTAAAAGTATTTGTATTTTTAATTGATTTTCCGCTGCTGAAAGGATTTTTTATGCGATTAACATTTTTATATATTATAATCATTAATATTTTCCAGAAGAAAAGCCTCTTTTGCTGTTAAGCTTTCAAAATTAATGTAGTAAGTTTTTTTATTAGTACATATAGAGAAATTAGATGGTGAAAGCAATATCGCTGGAAACTCAAAATCATAAGAATATGTGTTATTCAGTTTTGTATTTTTCTACGTTGGGTTCAGTTTTCGTTTCTATTTTAAGATTTCAGTTTTTTAATTTAAATTTTTCATTTTCAATCTTAAGCTTAAAGTTAAGAGTTTAGAGTTAAACTTTGTGTTTGTGTAATTTATATATAATTTTTAACTTTATTTTATAGTTCATTCTACACCAGTTTACCTTTATGCTTTTACAAAAATATAATGGTTTGCTCTTTACCTGATAACTTTTCGCACTTTTTAATAGTTTACTTGCTGCTATCATCTGCATCACCCTTATCCTTACGCCCTTATCCTTACACTTATCCTTCGTCCCTATGTACTAGTTGTAATAATATATTTGTATAATATAAACTTCGTTATGTGATATGTTTCGTTCAAATATTAAAAACTACATAGAATAAAAGGATTTTCTTATCACGACATTTATAATTCAAGAGAATAAATAACAAAAAAAAAGTAGTTTATGCATTTCAAACAAATTCCAGTGGAAAGAAGTCAATTTTGCAAAAAAGTACTTCTTGTAAAGACGAGGAGCTTAAAACTTAAAACTTAAAATATTAATAAAAATTAATTATTATTCAAAAATGTTGTTTAAAACACTGGAACCTATATACGGCTACAGAAATCAAAATTATGTGATAATTTTATGTCACATAAATCAGCCGTAATCGAGGGTTGCAAAATACAAATTTAATATAATTTAATATATAATTCAATATCATTTCTAATATTTTGTTATATTTGATATTTTAATGTTTATTTTAATTAACCTTTCCAACATTCTACGAACTTGGCCATTTCTCAAGACAATGTGAAGAAGAAGTATAATTATTAGAAACTGCATGAACAGAGCAGAGCAGAGCAGAGCAGAGTAGAGAACATAATTTATATCCAACAACGTTCCAGCAACATGTTGACTCAATCTGCGTTGGCAGCATTTATCAACCCAAGCGTTGGTAACACTGTCAGGGTAACATAAGCAGTCAAGGATGCAATCAAGCAATGAAGCAAGGCTAATATAAGTCAAGGATGTCAAGTATAAATTATAAATGATGACTAAAGTGGCTACAAAATAATATGCTTTCCTTTAACAGGTAAAGAAGTTAATGAGATAATAGATTTAAGGTTGGTGTGAAGAAAAAGACGAGATGTGTCCTTGTAACAAGTATACTTCTTTGGTCACAATTAGGTATGTACTCATGTTTTGAAATTTTGTCAAATATTGTACAACTTTAATACTTGAATAATATTATTAAGTAAATAAAAATATTTAAAGAAATTCGAAATGCTTCCAATAGTATTAATAAAAAATTTAATATATAAAAATCAAAAATATTTAATAACAACAAAAACAAAAAATTAAAACAAATTATTTATAAATAAATGAAATAACTATTTAATAAATGACTGAAGATATTGTTTTGTCTGAAAAGAAGATTATATTGCCAATCACATAAAGGTTATTGGAAATTAAATTTCGAGAAAATATTCAATTAATATAAGTGAATCATTTGTATAGTTATAGTATTTAATTAATTATAAAAATGCTTATCAAATCAGATTAAATAAAAAATAAAAATATAATTTAAACAATGCCCAGAAATTGATGAGTATGAAACTTTTAACGAAATTATTAAAAAATGTATATCCTTGATATAGATTGGCACCTATGCTCCATTGGGAGAAGAGGACTGCAGTAAATAAGTAAGTATATAGATGGCGCACTTCATAGAAATCATATATTATAAAAACTCCATTACTATAACAAAATGCCAAATATTTCCTACAAGTTTAGCTCTGAATAAGCTTTTAATAATCTTGGGAAGCTGTAATACGTACTTGGAAATTGGAAATTATACTAAAAATCATAGGACTGGAAATGCACAGATACTCCAAAAAAAAGTGAAATAAAACAAAAAAAATTAAAACAAAATGAAGTGGAAAAAAAGAAAGTTTAAAACATTAATTTATTTATTCCACAAATTAAGTTAATAACTCAACAAAATGAGTAGTGACAATAACACTGAGAAAGAGAAGAAATGGACAAATTTTCACGAATAATTTTTGCTAACTTGACCAATTAATATGAAAAACATTATTGAAATATGAACAAATTAAAAGATATTTTAATTTTAACATATAATATCCGGCTGAAAGTATTTATTCAGAGACACTAGAATAACTCTCGAAAAGTTTTACTTATTCCCAGGGTTATCGCTGCAAATTCATAATAATAACTGTTCTACAAAAATTGCTCTAAAATTATAGACTCTGACAGCTGTTCAGCAGCTAACCCCGTTAAGACAGGGTTAAGAAAAATATTCTTCTACTAATTCGGCGATTGTCAGGAAAGAAATGAAGCTTATATCTTCAATTGTCTGATATTGGATCGACAGAAATTGACAAATCGCTGATGAAGACCTTTGCAGTCTTAATTCCAGTCAAGATTACTTGAAATATTGTATTAAAGAAAAGGTCCAATGTTTTAATAATATAAATTACGTTATTAATAATAAAAAATTTCAAATTAAACTCGTATATATAATATGAAGATTTTAATAAATAAATGCACTAAGATAAAAGAAGTTAACAAAAATGATTGTTAATAGTTCCACGGAAACCATTTCTCTATATCTACAAGAAATACCTTTCATGTTTTAGTGGGTCAGTTTTAAGCAAATCTGACTTCTTTACATATTGGAATTTAGTTCTTATATTAAAACAATCAATAGTTAATTTGAGCTTTGAAAAACTTTTTTAAAATATGCTATGAAATGCTAAATTAATATTTTAAGACCTCTTCTGCTGACGTTTGTATACAATATTTGAAAGAATAATTTTTAATATAAATATAAATAATTATTATTTTTAATATAATTTAATTATTTGCTATATTTACTAATAAACATTGTGTGCATTTTTTGGTTTTATAAATAATTTGCTTTTGATTGGCTTATATATATATATATATAACAACTACTGAATATATTAATTTGCGTTAAAATTATTTGCATAAATTGAGTTACAGGCATATCCATATCATATAGGATCATATAGGATCACATTGGACCATATAGGACTTCAATATGTTATATATAGTCAATATTTTTATATATCATAGACACGTTATACTGCTTCTTGTTGCTTATTATTTTCATAAAAAGTTATTTAATTGGTTCAGAATGTGTACCTTAAAGAACTACTTCACACATTTAGATTTTAAAATTTATTTAATAAAAAATTTTATCCAATAAGAGAACATATTCAAAATTTTATTAGCTGCAGGGTATGCTAAATATCTTTTTAATAATTTCCAATTTTTTGCTTCAATCTGAATTCTTGTGCTATTATTAGTACTTTACAATAACTTCAAGTGAAGTTGGACATTTTTTATTATTATTTTAATATAAGTTTTATTCTTATTATTATTATTATTCTTATTATTATTAGATAGTTTTTTTTATGTGTTTTCATGCTGGAAGGTTTTTACTGACAGCAATAAAGAACTTCTTCATAAATTTGATTTTTATTTATATTTTTCTTAATTATTTTTGAGAAATAAAATAAAAATCATTTTTTTACTTCATTATATATGAATTGGTTAAAGTTAATGATTTTTATATAAGTGTTTAAGATTTTTATTTATACGTTTTGAAAACACTAATATATAACTATATATACTTTTAATAATGACATAACATGTAGATTTGAAAAATATTTTTTAAAACATTTACTTTTGGTTTCTCCCCGTTTAATACTAAAATACTAATAGCAATTATTTATAATATATAATGTATTTTTGTGTTTTGTTCATTACACTTGCCGATCCTGCTTCCACATTTTGTTTTGAATATCTTTAGATACATTTAGATACGAGTACGAAGTTCAATGCACATACATATGTGATTAAGTATTTTATATGTCTGTACTTTGAAGAAGTGAGATATTTTAAGTTCAGTGATTTTTTTCTCAAAATTTAAAATTTTTTAGAAGATTGAGTTTAGGAAAATATTAAAAAAAAGTTTTTGCTTTAGAAGTGAGCGTAGAGAGCAGCAAAAAGGTTTTCTGGCGGCAGAACATAATTGTATCTTTTTCTTTTAAAATTTATATGTCAAACAAAACAACTTTTCAATAGAGTTTTACCATTTTTTTTCAGTTTTTTGATTATTTTTTATAAAAACTTTTGAAAAATGTTTAGTTTCTTTGAACTTTGAAGAAATAATTTAATAGGAGAATTGAAATAGGGCTTAAAATTAGAATTAAAAATTTGTAGGTATTTTAAAAGTTGAGAAAAAATTAAATGAAATTATGCTACGGTTTGTATATATACTGAGTATATGTGTGTGTATGTGTCTGTATATCTGTGTGTCTGTGTTTGTGTTTGTGTTCGTGTGAGTTGTTTTGATGATTCATTCATCTGTGAGCCTCACTCTATGGTTATTTAATAGTTATAATTCTCATAGGGTGTGCCCAAATATGAATAGAAACTTGGGTTAATGGGTTGAGCGTGTGCGTAATAAAATCCAGAAGCCGGATCTGGTGCTACTCAGTCTAAGAATCCAGTATTAACAAGTTTCTCCAAAAAGAATTTCACATCGCCTAGTTCCGAATCCTTAATGCCCAACGATTTTAACATACCCAAATCCCCATTTTCAACAGCCATGAAAACGGAACGTAAATGTTCAAGATCAGATCTATAAGGATAAAAATAGAAAATTGTTAAGAACTTAATAGGAGTAGTATATTCATTGTAAATACAATAAAATAATTGCTTAGTAATTCATAATGGTTTGGGCAAAAATAAGCCTCTCAGCACTATATACTTTTCATTTTTATCAGAATGGTACATGAATAAATTATTTGCTTGAATTTTGAGTTATTGTCATACAAAGACTCCGGTTGTACATATAAGTTGATTACTTCTGTGTGGATTTAGACACTTTTTCTAAAAAATTATCTCAAGTAAATATCCTTAAGTTCTACAGCCCTTTTTCAAAATAATTATAATAAATAAAAATGTTGATAATAAAAACATTAATTATAAGTCATATATTTAAGGACACCATGATCTTCAGTAAAATTGAACAGGTAAAGTCTTATTATTATTATTATTATAAAACAATTTTATAATAAACATCTGATATCATACTAAATAATATTATTTGTACTGCACTTTTCAGTGATATTATACGTTATTAAGATACTAAGAAGATACTATAAGATAAGATACTAATTTTCTGATATCTAATATAGTGTAGATAGAGTTAGATATAGCAACAGTTATCAATATGAGTGTGTAAGTAACACGAAACTTTTCATTTTTTTAACTGATATAAATGTATACGTTTTCTGAGGTGATATAGTCACATCCCTAACTAATATACCTTAACTATATAAATATATAGTAGTCCATACACTTCTAATTTAATGTAAGCATAATCTCAATTGGACGCAACGGTTCTATTGAATGTGAACTTAACTTTAGTAGAACAAAGGCTAGAAATGACCCCTGCAAATTGCAAGCCCAGCATTAATGTATATTTTTGTTAAACATTGTCTTTTATGAAGCTGGAAGTGGTGCTTAGATCTTAAGATTTAGACATAAATAATTATTTTCATGATATACATTCAATAAAGACGAATCACATGAATCGGTTGTGTTTTATTTTCATTTAAAGATAAATACAATTTGTAAATACAATTTCTTATATATATATTACAATTAAAAGTTGTATTTATGTGGCTTTATTAAATTTAATGCTACTTTATACAGTACACTTCTCTGAAGAAAATAATGCCAGAAGCATAATTAAAACTATTATTCTTTAACTTTCTCATGAAAAATATTGATTAATATTATAAATTAAACTGACACCATCCTGAACTTAGCTGAGGTTTTCCTAATACTACAAATATGAGCTGATATTAATTTTATATTTTCAATGGTTCTATAAAAAACATTCAATGGAAACGTATTACTATTAGAAAGCACTTTATGATGCCATAAAGTGCTTTCATTTGAACATAACGAAGAAACTCGTGGTAAAAGAACTTCGAATTGTTTTAATATATTTGGATATTATTACGATTATGAAAAAAATTTGAAAATAAAACAAATTTTGTTTTGATAATAATTTTAAATAAAATATAAAATCTTTTTGAGATAGGTATTGAAGAAAAGAATTAGTAGTTTGTCTTGGTTAAAATGAGTTTCTTTAAATTTACAGGATTATTATTTATTTATTTTGTTAAATTGATTATCCCTAAATGATAATAACACATTCAAGTCAACTTCCCAAGGAATATTGTTCGATATTCAATGTTAGTTTTCTATGCCGGATACACAAATTAAAACTTTGCTGAAGAACACACAAATTGAAGGGGAGAAGGGAAGGATAGCCGCACAAAATGTTCCTGGTTTAATTAATCCCTGCAGTTGTCAGCTGTGTAAAACCCACTCTCATAAGTTTAATGTCAACGGTACGTGTTCTGTGATTTTATTACAAAGCACAATGCCAAGTTTGTGTTATTTATGGTTTAATATAAACTTCCCCTTCCTTTGCAGCTACGAAAAGATAATAACATTTTAGACAAAGTTTATCGGGAACATGAAGCATATGAAATCCTCCAGTTGCAAATCCTTCGGTTAAACTTCGTTGGGATTATGAAAGTATTTCATAAGTTTGGCTCCTACGTAGGTTAGTTACTGCCACATAAATGTGTCAATTTTCTTGAAACTAAACTTTTAATAAATATTAAATAAATCAAAAGCGATTCTTCACAATATTTTCAGTTAATCTCAGAGGTGAAAAATTCACAAATATATATACACGATATACTATAATTATTTATATACTGTAGACTTCCCAAGGTGCAATTATCAATTCATCAATCAATCATTTTCTGAGTCGAATTCACTGTGCGGTCATTTTACGCTTAATTACATATTTTTTGTTTTTTGCGTCGTCCTTAGACGTCCTTTTCCTTTTGTATTTTCTGTATTTAAACGAATCATTTTTCTGTCCCTGCTGACATCTGATTGTGATTGTGTAGCTAATGGCATTTTTACACGTCATAATTATCTTGACTCAGATTACGAGTACTGCTTTTTTCACAATAATTGAATATTTAGGTATGTTTATTTATTTTGGGATCATAAAAACAAAGATACAAAAGCCTCTACGGGGATTTCGGAGTGGCAGGCAATTAAAATCATTAATGAAAAAGCAATTGAAAGTCATAAAGTTACTTCTAATGATTAAGTAAGATGTAAAGCAAGTATTGGATAATCGATAAATATCTTAAAAATACATTTTTAATCCAATTTTAATTTTTAAAAATACTTTTTGCTTTTATTGAAGTTGAAGTTCAAATTGAAAGTAGATTTCAACTTTGAAAGACAGGACCGGTGGTTGTCATTATCTCAGCAATAATAAAAAATACAGCACGACTAATGAATTAAGCTGTTAGTTGATTTTTATTTCAGTAAATTTAGATGAGAATTATTTGCTCTTAAAATGCAATTAATGGTAAAAAGTTTACTAAGAATTTATAGTGAAATTTTTGTAACAAATAAATATAATCCAAAAAAATAATTATAATTGTGTCGATTTGCCGGTTGCAGTTATTACTTTTCTTACCCGCATAACAAATACAAAAAAATAATTATTTAAATTCATTTTATTATATAAATATTCATTTTTATTTATTAGAAATATTTTATATAGGATATAAATCTTATTTAATTCAAGATTTAATACCTGTAATAAATGAAATTAAAGAAAAGTTGAGCATTAAATAGAATTATTAAATGGGTTGTAATATATAGGTAGTGTGAGGTATCCTTTATTGTATCTTTCAAATAAATTAACTTGCACCTACTTCCGAATTATTGGGCCTAAAGCGAACTTAGCACTTCTTTACAGTGTATTTAATGCAATAAAATACTATTATTACTTAATGGTTTCGTTAATTAAATAATTGTAAATTTTTTGAATTTATTGTTAGAGATTTATAACTAAAATCAAGTTAATTTTTCACACATTATATCTGTAGGCTAGTGTTGAAATATTGTACTTCTAGAATTTTAATGACAATGAAATTGAAAAAAATTGTAACTTACCTCATAAGATGAAGTGCAGCTCCAAAATCTTCAATTGTTTGCGATTCGCTTAAGGCAATTGCAACTTTTTCTACTCCGCCCAACGGAGCGAGTGCATCACGTGCCTTACTACCAAAGAGTTTTTCCAAATAGTTGGGACCATGCGATGCTATTAAACTCTGAAGGAAAGATGCTGTCTCCTCTACTGGTGGCCGTTTAGCTGAAAAAAATTAATAAATAAGATTCTAAAACTGTAAGTTAAATATATTTAAAAGTACATTTCACTCTATTAATAATAATTGTTTTCTTGATTTCATTAGCGCATTTAGTTAATCCATTTATTTTTTTTTTAATCAATTTTTTTTTTGTTTGTCATTAACCTCGACTACATAGTGGGCATGTTTTACTGGAAGAAAAAATATTAAGTTTTGAAAACTTGTCTAAAAACGGGGATAAATTCTGAACACATATAGATTTAGTGACAGTAACGGATAATGAAAATGACAGAAAACATTATCAAAAAATTACAAGTAATTGATCCTGAGGGTGTTATTGAAAAGCAAGACGCAAGATTGCAAAAGAAGCTTGAAGAAAACTCAAATACGACCTTATGACTAATAAGTATTAAGTAATAACTAACATATGATTCCAAAGTTATTGGAACGGCAATGTAGAGAATTGTTAAAGCTACGTTATTTTCCCCATGTAAGTCGGTCAAACACATTCTGTAGTATAAGTAATATCTAAGTTAAAGATATTGTCAGCTATATAAAGAAAGAAAGCACAAATATCCACTTAAAGGGATCAATGCGCGAAATTGAAAATGACTTTTAAATTTAAATTTAATAAATTGGAAGAATTTATCAAACTGGCTTCAATAAATAAAATTTTGAGAATTTTGAGAATCTTTGAAGTTCGCTTATACTTACAATTTTGTAAATACTTAACTAAGAATTTAGTAATTAGATTAAAATTTAAAATTTGTTGTTTTAAGTTCAGCTTTATAAACAGAAGCACAATTAATTTTTATATTAATTTAAAATTTTATAAAAATGTCATAAATTTTACTGACCATTTTTATTCAGAATATTGTAGCCGCATAATGGGCTTTTCTGTAATATAACTTTGATAATTTAATTGATGATATATTATTAATATAGCTTTTATTTTATATAAAAGAATTAATAAAATTTTATTTCTTATTTCGTTTTAATCTTTAAGTTTGAGGAGCGAAAACGAATGGAATAAGAAGTCTCCGAATCCACTTTGTACTAATTTCCTAAACTTGCAATAAAGTTTTAATTAAGATTTCATAGCCATTATGCCCAAGATTTGAAATTTAATATTTAATGAACGAGAGGAAACGAGTTTGTTGGCCACAGTAAGCACAATTTTGATTGCACATCTCTTGGACGAACTAGTATCTTGGTTGTGCAGAGCACATATGCGCACTGAACTCAGTACTTTTGTACCGAAAACGGTATTAAGAGTTTCTTCTCCTTTTTTAATTATTCAAAACGTGCTGTTGCTGAAGTACATAAAATGTGGTCATGTTACTTTGGCTAGAAAATTGAGATTTGTACTTCACATAAAGAAGCCAACCAGAGCAGCAGAACGTGCGGTCATGTATCAAAAAAAACTGTTAGCAGCGGTTTCTGGGAATTGCTTGGCAAAAGTAATTAATAAAAACTGATGGAAGTATTAATTAAAAAAGAAAATAATTTAACGAAAAAGTCAAAAGCTTTTTTAAAGTTTAAAAATTAAATATCCAAACTGAAATTTTTGATCCCAGCAAAAGCAATGCATTAAAACAGAAGTGGAAAACAATTTAAGTTCCTCATACGCACTGAAACACCATAAAATCTTCTATCCCTCAACGAATGATGGTGGCCTCATCATCTGCTGCAGAACAGAAATTCATGGGATACGAGTAAATTGATTTACATTTCTTCAAAGCAGTAAATTAGAATTTTTGTTAGCAATTTAGGATTAGAGATGAAAAGTAACTTCCAAAAAGAGGCAAGTAGTGTTATGTGATAGATACTTAAAAGCATCTATATGGATTTTCTGCAAAGAAAAGAAAAAATAAGCTGAAGTCTTTAATTTCTTTGTATATTTGCACTTCTTACACATATAGTTTTCATGTGTATTTATGCCAAATTTCTAGGTTAAATTTGCGTTTTCTGTATTAGAACAGAACGATGTCCCTACTCTATTCAAATGGTAGCCTCATTTGTTCATGAAGTCCGGCTAATTGCAATAAACACTTTTTGTGAAACTTTTTCGTTTGTAATTTTGTTGGCAATAATGTCTTCGCACAAGCAATATTTGAAGCTATGTATATATACGTATATAACCACCCAACACTCCTTGTAAGTAACTCTCTATTCCGTTTCATAAATTCGGTTTCAGGATTATAAAAACAATCATTCTGCTATCCTGTTGATATACGAGTATTAGTGCACTTGCTTTGTTGTTGTGGGTTGGTAATTATTTTGCAATTTCACTTTATTGCTTACTTAGTTTTGCATTATAGAAGATTGATTTCCACTTCTGCGGCGAGGATGAATATATTTCCTAAATAGTTCCAAATATATTTCTGACTACTGTAAGGAATGAAGTACATATGTAATGTGAAATTTTATCGAAGCATAAGGCTATAGGGGAACACAGCATTATACATAATTTATATTGAATATTTTCTCTAAAAAATGAGTACCCATTAAAATTTGTATTTTGATTTTAATTTGTATAAAGTTTACTCAAACGTATAAGACGTGTTTGTGATATACAAATACATATATTTTTTATGTGGTTAAAATATTTGTGTAAAAATATTCACATTCAAAGATAGTTACTGTATTTGATAAATAATAATTTTTGAAAGAGGCTTTTATATTATATTTATATTGATTCTAATTTCATATACTAAAATCTGTTATAGTTTTTCGTTGAAAGAAATGATTTAAATTTTTTATAACATCAGTGTTTACTCTGAATTTATCCCAAAAAGTCAGACGATTAACGCAGAATATTATCTAAGAGTGCTGCAATAACTGTGGATCAGAACTCTACGAGTTCGACTAGAATATTGAAGGGATATTTATTACGCTAGAAACATTTATTTAATATTAATTAATATTTTATGAGTGATGAACTAATTAAAAAAATTAAATTATAATAACTTCGCTTTGCACTATATGTGAAGACTAATACCCAAAAACTTTTATCTTACATATAACTGTGATTAAGTTTAGTTGAAAGTACTTCAGTCCCATTATAGTTTAATTCTAATAAAAAATACCAAATAATTTTACTCTGCTTCAAATTAAAATTAAAATATAATAAATTGAATTTTAGTATTTGAATAAATTCACTCCAAAATTTTTATTTAAGCCATTTTATGTTTTTAGAATGCAGAGTCATGGAGTTCACTTCAGTTATTGAAATACTTAATTCAGTTTAATTGAACTCAAATTAATTATTTATTCCACCATAACACACTGCACTTCTGCACTTCTGCAGCTTACTAATTTATTTCACTTTTAATTAATTTTTAACTATTCACTCAATTGAAACAATGATTGCTTTTTGGTTTTTGAAAAATTTTTTAGTTGTGAAAAAACTTTTTAATTTCACCAAATTAAAGTTTAATTTTCGAGCAAAAACTTACGAACATTGAATCGCACATAAATTTTTTTAATTTATTACGAAAAATTTCATTAATTGAAAATAAAATGAATAAAGCAATAAAATAACAGTATCGGCAGTAAAAGAGTTTTAAATTTATTAATAAATAACGAAGTTCGTAAATTTAATTTTAAATTCTGATTTTATATTTTTATATTATATTTTTGTACTAAAAACTATAATTTTTAATGAGGAGTTCGCAAAAGCTCATATAATATACTTGGCACATCTAAGTGAATCTTATTTCTGCAATTTTTTTTTAATTAAAATAAATTAAATCTCATTCTCAATAATCTTTTCATCAATTTAACATCAAACTTATAATTACTATTTATTCGAAAAGGACGTACATTTTTCGATATAATTTAATTTTTTTTTTATAAAGAGGTTTTTCGAACCGTAGTGAACTACAACAACAAAAATTAATTTTACATTATTTTAATTAATTGAATTTTTGGCTGACCATACAGCTATTTTGAGTATTGTCAAATACCCATCATCAGTGGTCTTCAAAATAATTCTTGTATTTAATTATTCGAAAATAATTATTTTTGAGACTGCATGTACCAGAAATCGAACTCGTGCCCTGCCAAATTGAAGCTCCGAGTCAGCGCTTCTTAACCAACTGATCCAAAACCGTACTTGACTTTTATGTTCGCACAATTTTTTTTTTTTATTAATAAATAGTACAAATTGTACCTTAAACTAAAGAGAACATCTGCATTTTGAAATAATGTACATTCAGCTTAACTTGTCTGCAGCTATAGTGCTCGGACTGAAAAGTATCTTGCATTCGAATATGGAAATGCATGAAATATATATCACTTACATCCTCTACACATATTTTAAAATGCACATACGGGTATATTCATATTTGCATAAAATATTTTTATAATTCAAATTTACCCAACTTATATTTAACATTAATAAAAATTCCTTCGAAATATCTAAGGAAATATCTGACCTTATTAGTTAAATTGCTTTATTATGAGATTAATTATCGATTTTGTGATCCTGATTAGGTTATAGAATTTCAATGATATACTGGATGAAATATTACTTCACATATTTTAAAGTTCTGTTAAATAATTACTATTTTTCGCATCAAGTTTTCTTAAGTGACGAAAAGCATTTCTCGCTTGTAACTTCTGATGCAGGACATATGAGAAAACGCACAAATAACTGTGGAAAGATCATTGGAATTATAAATACTCATTGGCATGGGATGTTATTTTGTCTGGAGGTGTGACAGGAGTACAGTCAATTTTGATGATCACAAATTTCGTTAGTAGAAGATTTTAACAGATGGATTTAGAAAATATGTGCTTCCAACAAAATAGTGTCAGAAGCCACCAATATCAATCGTCGTATTTGGTTTTGTGGTGTTATAAATTTCGTTGACGATTAATTTTACATTTTGATATATACACTCCAAAATCCTCTCGCTATTCCCCTTCTTAACTGCGGCTTTCGTGACCCTGGGCACAAAGTATATCACTAATCTCTCCTTCGCTATTTAGCCGTAACCCCACTCCTGTCATTATTATCCTTTCCTCTTGATTCATGCCCTTGCTTTCTGACTTAGATGAACCTACTTCACTAGGTATTAAGTCTATCTACTTTCTCTCTCCCCTGATTACTGGAATGAAGTTTCCACATTGCTGTGGGAATCTTCTTAATTCATTCCTAAGAGGTGGTTTCAGTGGGTTTAAGTCTCACACTCTGGCTTTCGATGCTTTCCACCCTAAACAAAAAAAAAACAAACTTAGAACAGTGGGCATCGCATGGGCACTTGATCACAGGCCACGGAGCAGAGCACTTTGCAGCACAAAAGGAAACATTTAACAAGGTAACTAACCAATTTACGTAAAATTGATTCCTAAGCAACGTAGCCTTATCGGTAACGTTAATTCCCAACCAACCAGCGTAGCCTAATCGCTTCCTAATACCCGATTAGTTTTCTCATTACAGGAATTGTAGTAATTTTCAATATTTATAATTGTTAGTAAAAAAGTATTAATAGAAATATTGTAAAGAAATCTATTTGAAATCTAAAATAAATTAATTAAACTAAAAATAGCCCGATTTTTAAATTATTATACAACGAGAAGGTTCAGGGTTACAAAGAAATTTTCTTGTAATAACCCTCGGATCCGGCGAACGAAACCTCGGCGGAAAGGTTCATTACAGTGCTTAAAATAAGTTTTGTGTCATATAATTATATAAACATACTCATGAATTTAGTTATGAGTTTTAGATTTGGATCCGAATGCTTGCCGTGTTAAGTTCAGTATAAATTGTTGATAGTAATTTATATTTCTTGCAGTTTATGATTTATAAAAATATATCGGATTGTGATATACTATATATCCCTTGCCTTTAGTTAAAGTCGAAAAATCTAGATTGCAAACTTACAATACCAATGCAAGTCGAGTTGCACTTTAGTTTTGATGGTTGATTTAAATAATTTAATTTAAATCCATCAAACCTTATTCAACAAACTTGGGAAATAGTCACAGAAAGTATAATATGACAATATATTATATTGCATACTGTGCGTAAAGATAAAATCCAAGGGAAGTAAATTGGTGATCTATATGATTTAAAAAGGTATGAGAAGATAATGTTATATTATTTATACGAATTCAATTAAGAGATAGCGAGACAGAGAAATAGCGTTAGAACTAGTATGCTGAAATGATATCGAAATATTGAAAATGACGCTTTCTGTAATACATCCGATATAAAAGGAATCTTTTACCCCACATGTATAACTACATTACCTTCTACATTACCTTCTACCTTCTAAGTTCAAGTCTTCATGTGAGTCAGACTTTCCACGAATTGCAAAATAACAATGGTGGCGCTTCTCTGTATTCTAGATTGATTATTGCAAACTCTTAAAAAACATACACATTTCCAAATTTTATATTTAGTGGGTGCATATAAGAACATATCCATTTCTTTAATATCTCCTTATTATGAAAATAGCAACTAAAGTTCAAAATTACTAGAATTACTAATAAAAATAAAAACTATTATTAAATAGCTTTTTAAAAAAAATAACTTTGAAATAAAAAAGAGGCAATCTCAAAAGTTAACTTTCAATTCGTTGTACTTGTGTTTCCAAGTATAGTTGTAGTTCATGAGCTCGTTCTAATTTAAAGTACGGCAAGTGCTTTGATTAATGTCATTAAATAAAAGAAAAAAATGACAAAGAACCTGGAACTTGAGCATTGAAAGTTTGTGCAGCCTTGGCTACTTCTAAGCCTGGCACTTGCAATTCAAACAAACTTTATACGGACTATAAACTAATTTTAAAGAAATTCGAATATTTTCTAAGACCAGTGATGATGAGTACTTGGCAATACTCGAAATACCTAGCGTTGTGTGTTCAGCAAAATTTCAATAAATGATCTTAACTTTTGTGCTTGTCTTTTCTTTGCTATTTGAATCCTTTTCAATTTTAAAATAATTATTATGAAAATATCTATGTACTTTAGAAGTTGATAATGTATTTTTAGTTCCTCCTTCGACTTTCGTATTTACAACTCATTGTTCTCAATAAATTATATAAACAACCAATTGCGTTTAATGAATTTTATACCCAAATGCAGTGGAAATGTTTTTATAAAATTTCTTTAAAGTTCGAATATTTCTCCATTTGAATGCGGGCGAACATAAATTTTCCGTTGCATAAATTTCAATTTCTATTGAAACGTAATCATTGTTATTTTGTTGAGTTTATTATTTCTTTATTTTCCTTTTACGTTTCACAAAATTCATTCGTTATTTTGCCTTTTAATGGCTTTTAAAATAAATTTTATCTGCTGGGAAATCAAATTGAAATTGCACGTTTCTTGCTTGAGAACAAATAAATAATTTTATAAAATATAATAAAAAGTATATGATGTAGAAATGTAAAAAAGTTCTTTTTTGCTTTCAATTAGACCACCTACATGTCCTCTCCGGAGTTGTTTTCGTCTCTTATCCAATTTGTTGTGTAAATGCATTGACAATGCTGTCGAAAACCCTTTGCTTTTCAATTCACATGCCATATGCACTTTCCACACTCTGTACACTTGGTCGACACTACCGCCATTGCCGACACTGACGACACGCCGACACTGACGACATTGCACACTGCACATTGTCTCAGTTGTGTTGCACATTTATTGTGCTTGTTTTGGTGTCATGTATTGGCATTGCCATTCCAAGGACATGTTTTTATGTATCTTTTATCTATCAATTGTGTACTGTGTATAATGATTGATTTATGTTGCATACTTTTGTGCGCAGCAATTGCGTGCAGCAAGCTTTGGTTGTTACTTTAAATAATGTTGCTGACTACTGACTGCTGACTACTGCTGCTCTTCTGTGTTTATGTGCTTCTGTGTTTGTAGGTTTAACCATTTGTATCTAAGTTAATACTGACAGCAATTGACTGAGGCAAATATTTATTTGTTTTGATTGTTTATCACAATCAACAAAATTTGTCACTGAAGTAGCCGCAGTACATGTCAGCTCTTATAACAGAATTGAAACGATTGGTACAATATTTCAATTATTCAACAAAATTTAATTTATATGGACTATTTCGGTTAACATTTAACATTTAAAACATCAAATATTTTTTATTTGTGTCTTAAATTTCAAATATGGTTCGATGATCCAAGAAACATAAAAAATAATTTTAAAATTTTAATTTTTCTAAATGTCTAAGAATGTCAAAGCCTAACCCAATAAAAACTCTGATATCTTTTGAATAAAGTCAGAGATTATACTGAGTAAAAGTGGATTTTTTAAAAAATGTTTATCAATATTTCGGAAATCACTTTTTATCAAAATTTTTGTGAAATTTTGTTATGTTAACTATTCATATATTATTTATATAGTTCTTTATATAATGCATCTTTATCTCTTAATCATACTATGAAATAAACTATCTACATTTTGGGTTCCTCGCAGTCCTCTAATTGTTAAACCGTTTCTTGGCAACGTTTGAAGCTAGACTATTATTGTGGCTCTAGACTATAAAAATATCTACTTTGATTGTAAGCAGTATTGAGATCACACTCTATATTTGCGTTAAAAATACATCAAATCCGGGATTAAAAACAGAGCCGTAGTACTTTGGAATCTTACGTTGAAGAATTTCAATATTCGAATTTCAGTCATATGATTTTAGCCAATATTTGAACAGAATTCCAAGCTCATATAGAGTACAACAGAAACGAATAGTTAGAATTGGTATTGAAGGAAATAATATACAGTTAATGGAAGTTAGCGTGCGAGGGAAGTGTGTTATACCAAATACACATTTACATTGTACTTAGCTAAAACCAACACTTAAGCTAGTTAATGTTTTTTTTTTTCAATTTGGATTAGATAACAAATCTATAATTCAGTTGGAGTTTATAAAAGCATTAAATGAACCAAACAACAACATCAACAACAGACACAAAATCATACTTGTGCATTCAAATTCTGATGCAGCTAATATAAATTAAAACAGAAATTGTTTTTTCAAGTATTTAGTGCTTGTCGATAGACATTGCTTCACATATCCCACATCATGTTTAATAATAATTTTAAATTTTTGTTTAAAGGCGAGTAGTGAATGACATTATCAAAACGTATAATGTGGATCGATGTTTTAAGTTCATTTTGTGTTGTTGTTGCTTTCTAATCATCGGCTTGGTTTTATTTGTAATTTTCTAGCAGATCGCATAACGAACTGAGCGGAGTAATCAAATATATTCATTGCGTGCCCATCGCTGTTTAAGATGTATATATATTTGTATATTTAAGAATCTGTTTATCTACGGAAAAGACACATTTTGCAGCATTAATATTTTCAAATTGGTTTAATATTTAGTAGAGACAAAAACAAAGCGTTAACGAAAATGGAATATAAAGTCTGAAAAATGTTTATTTGAAGTATTAAAATTGCAGTTTTTTATTTTTTTGTTAGCACATGTTTTAATGTAATTATTTTTATTTTGTTTTTATATCCTTTTTATTATTATTGTTTTCGCGTTTATTGTATCGTTTCGCAATAAAAATATGTATTTTCATTTCGTTTTACTTCATTGTCTACTTACCCGCAGTACATAAGCGCATATCCTCGTCGTAACCATCAGAGCAATCAGGAGCGCCATCACATAAATACTGTATTGAAATGCAGTTGCCATCGCCCGGACATTTAAAGGGTTCATATGGATGACAGGGATCTGCGCAAGCAGTGACGAGAATACATATTGACACGCATTAGCATTGGTTGTTGACAATAGGATTGGTTAATGGTTATGGAGTTGTTTCAGTTGTTTCAGTTGTTTCAGTTGTTTCAGTTGTTTTTCATTCCAGCAACATTTATTTGAAAAGAAACAATAAAAATAAAAATAAACATATTAGTTTTGGTTTCACTCAAAATGTAAATTTCTATTAAACATAGTCGTAACGATATCACATTAAATGGCTAAAAATATTGTGAATGTCATGTGGCAAATGAAATGGAATTGCTTTTAATGCGGATAATTCCATTTCCCCAATTGCTATTAAATTTCTATAATGAGATTTTCTTTTAGTTACAAGCGGATATGAAAATTTATTGGCAATTTCGCATTTGTGCCACAAGAACAAAAACTGATAAAATCGCATTAAATTGCATATTGATTGGACTATCCAGAATTAGTTAAACTACGTACAATGACTGATTCATTAAGTTCAATGCTTTGACCTTTAAGGAATATAATGAGCTTACCTAAATGACATTATTAATAGTTAAATGAGGACAGAATATCAGATATTAGCTGAACTCGTAAATGGGCGGCAATGAGGAGGAAGAATTGCGAATATCGCTTTGAAAGCAAAGAAAGTAAGCAAAATAAAATATTGGAAAAACTGTTTCAATACTTTCACTATTAAAGGTAATTGCGTTCATACATTCATTAAGATATAAAACAAAGATACTTTCTTTAAATACAGTGAAAAAATATAACTATAATTTGAATTAGAATTATAAATATAAATATACATAGACATACTTATTCAGTACGATTAGCACAAATTTAAATTTTGTTTTGCCCACTGAGATACCTGTAGACAGAAATTTACTTCGGAGTATTAGTCCATCAAGCCCACTCTATGGATTTGTTCCTATTGGGGACTACACGCAAAAATTTGGTTTGCTTTAATGAGTGTAAGTATCTCTTTATGAGTCTAATGCAGTTTTCCGATACGTTAGGTCCTTTACCATAAATACTAATTGCAATTGAAAAAGACAAATTTGTACGATAACCAAAAACAAACATCCAAAATACTTCACCTGTTTGATACTATTATTGATTAGTAAACTACACTAGAAAAGCTTAAGTATATTTTAGTGTATTTAATAAAAGTAGTTTATGGTAAAAATCTAATTATCTGATAAAATAAAAATGAAAATCTAGACGTTGTTGATAGATTGTTTAAATATATGTCATTTGTCCTTTCCACTGTTGCAAAAGGATATCTTAAGTTTGCGAAAATGATCATTAAGCAGTATAAAAGTTTATCTCAATATGTATGATACTGATATTCCATGATACGTTCAAAGAGAGTCGTAACTGAAGAAAATCAAATTTGTTATTAATATTAAGTCAAAAAAAATCTATAGACAAGAGTTCATATCGGATGAAAAAAGTTTGTACTATTGATTGAACACCACAATTTATAGAGAAAGTTGAACTTGAGAAAATACTCCAAGTCAGTGAAGAGGGCACAATAAATCTCTAGGTTGCAATGAAATGCTCCCAAAATAATAAAAGTAATAATAATCAGGCAGATAATGGTGAGTATTAGGATTTACATACTTCTGATCAGACGAATGATTCAATCTTACCATACTGCTTGTAATTGTTAAAAAGAAAACGAATCCTAGGCGAAACGCTAGGGAACACATATTTTTTGCTGACCTGGTATATTTGCTGTATATATCTATATAGCTCTGAAGTAAAGGCGAAAGATTTTCTTTTGTTCCGATCTGTGTGATAGTCTCATGCTTGAAGTTATTGATCTGGAAAAGGTATACGAAATGCACCAGCTTTTGTTTAAGAAAATATAATACCAAAACTCAACAAAAAAAAACGTTTTCAACCAAAAAATTGGTAAAGGATTTTAAAAAAATGGACAATGTTTGAGTTAATGTTTCCAAATCTAAAAAAAGTTTTCAATTTTGAGTGCACTAAGCTAAATAGTTTTATCCAAACTGTATATGTTCACTACAAATTCGCTAATCACCAAATCTACGCAACTTACAATACTAAGTAACTGAACTAAAACTATGTACTCTGAAGTAAATTTTTAATTATTGTAATTTCGCAAATCTGTCCAAATTTGCATAATTAATTAACAATTTCATTTTTAATGATTCAATTAAACTCAGCTACAATACAAAGTTTTTCTTTAAACACATCGACAATAGTAGAAGTACGATTGTTAAATACTACAAAAATTAATTAATTTAGTAATTAATGAGAAGATAATTATTAGTTATAGCAATGTTCATAAAGATATACTATATCAAAGATATGCACAACAAAAAATCAGAAAAAGTTAAAAACTGTTTACCGCACAAAAATCTGTTAAATATTTAAGTATTTCCTGTGGCTCACATTAAGTCAAGGATTTGTCTTCAGTGTGTGACGTCTTGGTTGAAGTTGCTGAATATAATCATTTAGCTGGATATGGCAGTACCAAGCTATCTAGCACTTTCACGCTTTTCATACATGTTTTTAAGAGCAGTGATGAGAAAAAATTTTTACTGTTGGGAATACTTAAGCAGTTAAAATATTTAATAAATAAAGCTGCAAAAAAGAATAACAAAAAACATACAAAGCTTATAAAAAAATCCGAAAAAACAAAAAATTTTGAACAAAAACTTCAGGACTTTCAACAAATTATTGCACACACATCGTTGCTAAATATAAACCACAGATGTGCCACATAGCGTATGAGTATTAAAATGTGTAGGCATCTTCTTTATGGGTTGCATGCGGTATAATCCGTGGAGACAAACGCATCTGAGCCTTTATCCTTAATAGAGAAAGAGTAATTTGGAATACTTAATAATATGGGATAAAAAAACATAACTTCATAATGCAATGACTTTTGTTATACACTAGCAAGGGATTTGCATAAAAAAGTAACGCAAAAGCGTAATATTATGTGGGAAGATTTTAAATAAATTAAATAAATAAAATATTTACAGAGATTTTAGTTCATTTGCAAGCGTAAATACAGTCTTTAAACTGTTTTCAATTCAACTAAAATAAATATTTATTCTGAATATATGTTAACTTGTCTAAAAATTGAGACAAGTTCTGCTATTTTCTAAAAACTATCACTATCCAAAGATTCTAATTAAAATTATATATACATTATGACAGTTTCACTCGCAGATTATTTTTCTACCTTTTGGAAAAGCATCTTATGTGGTCAATCTAAGTACTCCTCAAAATCATCAAACGCTAAATGGTTAAGGAACTAAATGGTTAAGGCAGCAAGGCCTCATCGGCAGACAAAACCCAATTCCAAAACGATAACCTACGTTAAGTGTTGTGAGAAATTGAAGATGACCGTATCCTTGAGGTAGTTTGAAGACAAAGACTCAGCAGCTCATAGGTATATTAAGTTTGTAAGTCATACTGATTGTATAAACAATATTTGCTTCATATGAGTTCAATCGGAGTTGTGAATTAAGTTGTGGTAAATAACAAATTAACATTGCCTATAAAAGTAACAAATCTTTAACGGAATGTAGAACTATTAAATAATTTTTAACTTTCACTATATATTGTCATGATTGGAGTACCCTGTATCTTTCGTTTTATTATTTTATAAACATTTTATAAGCATTGAAGTTTATTTTGTAAATTATAGAATCGTGCTTTTAAGTCATAAAAACTTAGGTTATTTTTAAAACCAAATTATACCCCGGCATTGTTATACAATACTTTTGAATCCAATTCTACCGTTAAAGGCTATACAAAACAAAAAAGGGAACAACAAAGAAACGGTAAAAATGGCAGAATATGCAAAAAGTCCAAAAATAAATTATAAAACTTTTGGGCACAAAAGAATTGTCAAGAAATTTGGTTTAAATTGAAATTACGATGAAGGTAAAAACGATTCGCAAGTGCGAGTTAAATAAAGCACAAGAGGCAGTCACAGAATCTTGAAGAAAAATTATAAAATATATAAAAACTTGTACTGTATTACCATAGGAATACTCTTAAAATATTTATTTATTTTAATGGTGAATTTTCTGCCAGCAAAATGTTATATATTTTTTTATGATTTTCAGGATACTTGGCTACCTCAACTGGTATTGGTTGCTACTATACTAGTATTTAGTGTGACTGCAAATGTAACAAGTTTTAGGGCTTTAGGACTCGACACTGTCTTAACGTTTTCGTAATATCTTTATTAAGAATGAAATTATAGATTTAATGGACTTCCTCATAGAGAAAAAGTGTCCAAAAATGTTAAATCTAAAGTAGAACGAATTCATTTGAATTGATATCATACTTTAACTATTATTAAAATTTTTGGAACACCATGTTTTGTACGTAAATGCCCTCAAGGTTAACTAATAACTAACTTACTACCAATAAGCACAAAACCTACATTAAAGGGAATTATCAGGAGACGGCTTAAAGAAACTTGGAAGCGACTTCTCAAATATTACTATATTATAATGTGGCTTATAAATGATAAAGGATGACAGAGTATTTGAGAATAAAATGAATTTTTTCCAAAATATTTACAAATATATTCAACACCAACGAATATCAATGATCAATGACTATCAATGAATATTTGCCAATTATTACGTATATGTTAGATCACACCTTTAATACTATATATGTATAAAATATATTTGTGTTTTTAAATAAATAAAAATGAAGTAAATAATAAAATAAATAAAAAAAAGAAAACAAATTGAGAAAATTTTAAACAGCCAAATTTGAATGGATGAGATAATTTATACAATACATTTTACTGTTTAACAGACCTTGTTCTCTACTTACAATAACTGGCTGCAAATATTACTTATAATTTTGTGACCTCCATGAGCCCAGGGATATCTCTTGACTATAAAAATATATGATTGTAAATCGCTCTATAATTGGTTTTTCTGTCATGAAATAAAATATGTGTATATGCAAATATCGTACCAAAAGATAAATTA